GGTTGTTTTCACCTTAGCTGCACTGTGTGCTCAGAGCAGCAGCACATCCATGCAGATCTTGCTCATTCCTGGTGCWTCCTGTGGCCCTGAGCACATCTCAGTTCCTGGTCAGGGCATCAGGGACCCTGATCACCACAGCAGGAGCTGCAGTGACCTGTCTGCAGGCACAGGAGACACTGCTGTCTGTGCAGCATCTGAGCCTGTCCTCCAGACCTCCGACCCATAGCAGGAGGCTTCCTACTGAAACAGAAGCTGAGCAGCTCTGAGCTCTCTGCAGCCTCCCAGGGCTCACTAGCAGGGTATGCAAGAGGATCCCTGTTGAAGAGGATATCCCATGACCATTACAGGCTCCACATGTGGGGACAAATAGGTCACTGAGACCTGAGAAGGCCAAAGGCTTCTTAGGCTCCATATAGAGATAGTGGGAATGTGCTTGTGCTTCTGTCTCCTATTACTAGCAGGGACACACAGAACATTGCCATTTTCAGTCGTTTCCCATGTGTAAGTTACTTGCTTTTTGCTCCAGTCTTATGATCAAGATTTCACCATCTTGAAGTGCTTTRTTCTCTAGAAAGCTTCACCACCTGAGGATGGGTGTCTGGGGAGAGTGGGATGACATGACAAATGTCATCCATGTCACATCCATGACAAATGTCTTTGATGTGAGAGTCTGCCTGTTCCTTTGAACTCATACAGTACAGCCATTCAGAGAGTCACACAAATCATAGAAGGATTTGGGTTGAAGGGACCTTTAAAGCCCACCTAATCCAATCTCCCTGACATGGRATGGGACATCATGCAATCTTATTTCCTTCAATGTTATATTGTTGTCAGAAAAAGCCCACAGAGGTGTTCACTGTTCACTGTATCTTACGTATATTTTCTGAAAAATGGTATCTGGAAACTCAGAATGAAAAAAATGTTTGTAACCCAAAATTCCTGTGATGGGCCTGGGGAAATGCTTACCAGCATACAGTACCACTGAGAATGCACCCAGACCATGGTAATWAGAGGAATCTCCTGTATTCTGTCTGCCCTGCTGCTCCTCAGCTGGTGGAGCTCCTTCTTAATGGGATGTGATGCATTTTGCTGCCCCAGGGAGCTCCACAGCTCTCTGACTCTGCCTGCAGGTCATACTTCTCTTTGAGGACTGAAACCAACCAAAGCCTGCTGCTGCTGAGGACATTTTACTGACATACTGAGAAGCAGTATTATGGATTTGGTGTTCTGGAGGGATATGYTTTGGCAAGTGGCATGGAATTAATTGTCTTTGACAATGCAGTGAGATCAAAGATTGCCCAGCGGTCCACTCAAGAAACAGTTTTTCAGGAATGTTTTGGGTTCTTAGCACAAGAAGTGCAGATGCTTTTACTGCTCAGCTTTGAGCAATTGTCTGCTTTGGATGGATAGAGGCAACCCCTACATTAAAGCCACGGAACTACTGTTGTAAAGGATCACCTGGAGGTCTTTAGTTCAGTCTCCCACTTCAAGCATGTCTCTTGCAAGTGTTGATTCAGTCACAGTTTTGGTTAGCCAGACTTTGGAGACARAGTACCCACAACATCTATGGGTAGCCTGAGCCATGTTTGCATTACCCAATACCAAGAATTTTCCTAATGTCTAAGTGAGAATTTTCCTGATGTTTCTGATGTTTAAGMAGAGACTTTCAAGCAGCAATTTGTGACCATTGCCCCTTATTACATTTTCTGCTGCTCATTAAAAGCTTGGAGCATTGCCTTTGTAGCTGCCCCTCAGTATATTAACTCTTTTTCCCTCAGATTAACCGTGCCCTTAAACTCTCATCATGGCACAGGTTTTCCAGACCTTTGCTTATCTTTCCAGCCTTCTGCTGGACTGTCTTCCATTAGTTCATATCCCTTTAGAACTGGGGAACCTCAAACTGGACAAACCATTCCAGATGAGGACTCAGCAGTGTCAAACTGAAGGGACAATAGATTGCTACAATCCATTGACTCACATTCATACCCACCAACATCCTCCCCCTTGTAGGGCCACCTGTCTTACGGAATCACAGAGCAAATAGCCTGAGAGTATCTCCCAGAGTTAAAAGACTAGAAAGAAAAATTCCTTTTCCTACTGCAAAACCTTCAGCCATACAGGCACATCCTTGTGTTCCATTCTTGTGAAGTGATGAGTCTGAACAGACAGGAGTGGGGGGTTCCCAGTAGCCAACACACAGCACCCACACASCAACTTCCCCTTCCCTCTCCAGCCTGGCTTCTGCCTGGTTAAAAAGTGCCTTCTCACTTCTTATCTCACTTAACYGCTTGGATGGGGAGAAGAAAATGCACACCTTAAGAGTTGGCAGAAAGAGGGCAGCTGTCTGGTAACTGTCTCAAGAAGGATCTATTTTCAGCATGACTGAATCCTTTCTCCTCCATGGGGAATGTGCACCTTGACGACACTGCATTGCTGTGCAGGACAGTCTGTATCCAGAGATGGTTTCCAGCCTGCCTCTTCCCATTTATCTCTGCTGTGGTTTGCTGCTGGTCCCAGTGAAGTTCACCCTGCAGAGATGGAAATAGAATTGACAGAATATTAATGGCTCCCAGGAAACATTGCATTCATTTTTTTCTTTGAGGGGCTTGCACTTCTTTCAACAGGTTCCTTCCTGGACGGATTTCTTCTTGCTGTGCCTGGGTGTAGGAAACACGGCGAAGTTTCCCCTGAAGTAATTTTTTTGGGATCTACAGAGTTAAACTACAGTGAAATCTGGATAATCYATTTCAGATTAGAGACTGCTTCTTTGCAAGAAACCACTATACCAGCTCCTGTAATAGAAATGGTGAGAGAGATGAGTTGTATAAATTAAACTAAATCCAAAGCAGATGCTCAGTAGCTTAGACTGCTTTCCAGGGATGCTTATGACAGCTGACCAAACACTTTTTTCTTTTCTTGTCGTACATTACAACACTGAATGCTAGGTTATTTGCCCAACCTTTTTTTGCACTTGCTCCTGTCTCCTCCTTTAGCTTTCACAAACATAGTGTCTTTTCTTTGTAGACAGTCACTGAGAGTTCATTTACTACCTGTATTCACAATGCATGCTCTTACAGGTGCCGTTGCTTTAGCTCTAAATTCCATCAGAAAAGTCTTTTAAAACAACAACTGAAAGCACAGAAGCAGTTCTTGTTTTCTGTTATTTAGTTAATGCAAAAGGGGAAAAAAAAGAAATGGGTATGAATTTAGAGCTTTCAAGTGAAAGTAGTTGATGTTTTATCATTTTGTCTTCTTTTTGTGACTGTTTGAAAGAGTTTGTCTAATGCTGATMCTTCCAGAGGAGTTCTTAGAATAGCTCTGCTATTCAGTTTGAGTGGCATTATTTAATGCTGAATTCAGTCAGGCCCCAGCACCTTAGCTGGTCTATGACACAGGGTGGTTTTGTGTTGCAGTACAACTGACAGACAGGTGAGCAGACACACTTGGTGTCACCTRTAAATGCTGCTCCTGTGGGAGCTACTATGATTTAATGTAAAKTATATAAGTGATAGCTGAACTCAGTATGCAAATTATTCTTAGCATGGGGCCACAGCTCTATATACAACATTTTGGAGAATTTTGTTGGATTTCAGTACTTTTTCARTCCTCAAATGACTAATACCAAGCACCTTTGGAGGATTTCACTCAAGACAGAAAGCAAAGCCAACATACCCCTAATCACATGTTAATGCTGGGATTTATACTAGGACTGAGGTACTCATAAGAGATATTAAGAATGATACTTCTGATGGACACAGAAATACGAATTATGGATTCACAGTAACAATAGTTTCTGAATTTCAGCCAGCATATATATTCATACTCTGARTTTGTATATGACCACAGAAACTCTCGGCCAAAGTAGGACCTCCTCCAACACTTGATACAGGGTTAGGTGGGACCAAATATCCCTCAGCTCATCTACACCCTGAGAAATCAGATAGCATTGCCAATCTTCTTTAGGTCTGAATCTGCCTGTTCAGACTCATGTGACTCAGTTTTATCAGTTSCCTTCTGTGAATGCTGTCCCATTCCTGGGAACACAAGGCTGCTTTCCCTTCTGAGGAGMTGACTGCAGCCATAGGATGCCTGGGCTCTCAAAGCTCAGGGTCTGCAGTCTCAAACCAGAGAGTTTCTTTGCTGCCGACACTGGGGACAGCTCCTTCCCATTTGAGTGGAATAGCTCTACAGCTGCCATTTCTTTGTGCCAAGGAAGGCTCTGATTCCTTCTGGTGATAGGAAAGCTGCCAGATTCACATCTTCAAGATAATGTTGCTAGTTCTCCTACTGAACAGGGTCACAAGCTTCTACCCCTCTGGCTTYAGGCAGCTTATTTCCAGCTGTTGTGGCATGATATTGAAAACAGTATCAGWCATGGTGGGCCAGAACCACTACATAACTGAATCGTGCTTGGTGGTAGTCTTACCATCCAGATTCTTCTCCAAGGATCAGAGACTAGTTTCATTARCTAGGTGTTTCAATATTTAAGATAGTGAAGGCCAAATCTTTGAAATAAATGACAATTGACTTGATCTCTTAGGCAGCATATATAATCTTGTCTCTGTGGATATTCTGTTGAACCCACATGCATCTCATCCCWTTTGTATGCAAAGCATGGAGTGTTCTGAGGGAATGTAGAGGCACCTGTACACCTGAATTGCTTTGCTTCAATGTCACAAAGAGTCTTTAGCTGGAAACCCACACATGATTTAATCAGCAATACAGATAAACATGGCAGTAAGATTTGAGTCTCTGTGATTGTACAATTGCTGAGGCCCATTTAATATTAAGTGTTTTCTCTGTTAAGGACAGTATGCAGCTGAGTACTGGTGAAGCAAAACCCTGAGGTCAATCTGGGATCTAATAATTTAAAACAAGTGCAAAGCCCTGAACCTGGAGAGGAACAACCCCAGGCACCAATATATGCTGGGCACTGACCAGATGAAAAGCAGCTTTGCAAAAAAAAGAACTTGGAGGTTCTGCGGAACACACAGTTGAACATGAGCCAACAATGTGTCCTTTCTGTGAAAAAGGTGAGTGGTGTCTGCATGAGGAGGAGTTTTGCAGCTGATAGAAGGAGGTGCTCCTTGCCCTTAAGGCAGCACTGAAGCAACACGTGGAGTGGTGTCCAGTGCTGAGCTCACCACTGTAAGAGACAGAGCTACTGGAGACGGTCAAGAAAAGGGCCARCAAGATGAATTAGAGACTGGAGCATCTCTCCTGTAAGGAAGGTTTGAAGAGTTGAGTCTGTTCAGCCTGKAGAAGAGAATGATCGCATGCATCTCATCCATGGACATAAATATCTGAAGGTGCACAGAGGATGGAAGCAAGCCCTTTTCAGTGGAGCCCAGTGACAAGGCAAGAGGCAATGGGAACAGTTTGACACACAGAAGGTTCCCTGTGAAAATCTGGAAAGGCATTTTTTCCTGTAAGGTTGACTGAGCACTGGCACAAACTTTCCAGAGCTGTTGTGAAATATCCATCCTTGGAGATATYCAAAAGCCATCTGAATTAAAGCAYACTTTTYATYGCTATGTCCTGMTTCACAATCCTTTTCTGAGACTTGGACCACTTTCAGAAGAGATTTTATGTTTCTACCACTGAACAATGGGGCCCTACTGACACTGGATTCAATCCCCAAATCACTGGTGAGTGTCAATACCTGGAGACACTTGAACTCACTGACAGCTTCCTGTGCAAACCAGACCTTCCCTGGGCTGCCTGCCCAGAGCTGCCTGGCCATGTGCCTCACTCCTGCCTCTTGCACAACTGAGTCCACATCCTGCACAGCACAGCAGCAAAAACCCACAAGAGCTCTCTGAGTAGAATGGCTTTGTTGTTGGCCACTGGAAAGGCACAAAGTCACACGATCTAAGTCTAGCACTCTCAGCTACAGAATCRTAGACTCAYGGAATCTTTTATGTTGGAAAAGACATCCAAGATCATCAAGTCCAACCTGTGACTGAACCTCACCTTGTCACCCAGACCAGAGCAYTGAGTGCCACRTCCACTCATTGCTTGGACACCTCCAGGAATGGGGACTCCACCACCTCCCTGCACAGCCCCTTAAAATGTTCAAYCACTCCTTCAGTGGAGAAATTCCTCCTGRTGTCCCCCCTGGCCCTGCCCTGGCCCAGCCTGAGGCCGTTCCCTCTCCTCCTGTCCCTGTTCCCTGGAGCAGAGCCCGACCCCCCCSG